TGCCCATCAAAAAAGTAGTAATTCCTTTTCATTACTTTTTTCCAACTTGATCTATTTGATGAAATGCTTTAACTATTCCACAAAAAGCTCTGATGTGAAAGCTTTAGCCCTGGCCATTGATGTTGCTTGAGTACGTAAGAATACGTAAGGATTATCTTTCATAAATTTATAGTACCACTTCTTCCCTGCAATTTCTTTTTCTCTATTTAAACGGTGTGGTAAATTATATTTTTTCAACGAGCTGATGGACAAGTTTTCTTAGATCGGTTGCAGTAAGCCCAAAAAAGCTTGCTTCTAAGTTGAGTGCGTGTGAAACCAACTCACGTTCCATAGTTTTGCTCAAATCCTTGGGCCTTCCAAATTTGACGTGCCTATTTAATCCTTGAAAATGACGTCGTAGCTTTGATTTTGGGATCCTATATTTTCTATGAGCTTCATTAAAGCCAATAACACCTTGCGATAATCTGGTAACATCTCTTTCATGTCTTCCTTTTTCCAACGATTATAAACTCGTTTTGACATAATGGCCTATCAAATAAATAAAAAAAAAAAAAAAAAAAAAAAAAAATCTAAAATAAAAAACAGAAAAGAAAGAAAAAGGTAAAAAATCCGTCGAAATAAGAATTTCTAAAGCCTAAGTCGTATCGGGTAAGACTTAGGCTTTAGAAAAGTATGATTACGTAAGTAAGAACACTGCGTAAGTCGTTACTAATATTAATGTCGCGTTTATTTTTTTTATTTTTTTTTTCCTTCTTCTGACATCAGTTGTTACGTTATTTTCTACCTTCACGTTCGTACGGGGTTTGTGTGGATTTGGAGTGAATAACGACGACATTTGATGAAGTATCGAAACACACTTTATTTACAATATTGTCAGGACAGCTCCAAAACACGTTTACAGTCGTGGAACTGTTATAAACACGCTGACACGATCAGCGACACAGCTTTCAGGTTATCAAGCTATCACGATGGAGACAGCTTCACTGCAAAGCACCAGAATACAGCTCCCGACTCTGCTCGGTCGTTCTCGGAACTCCACGTACTCTCGAGACCCTCCACGCTACAACGCGCGATGCACTTGACGACACACAGAGCACGGCTCCCGACTCTTCGGATCAGTCGTTCCTGGAAGCCTAACACGCTCTCTCGACGGGGCACTAACCGCGATACACCAAGAGACACCCTCGGTGAACTCGACGACCCACTCGGCATTTGCTGCCCGGCTATCAACTTGATCGACTCCGCAGGGATTGACTCGCTAGACGAGACACCAACTCGATACTAACTATCTTGCACTTCAGACGAAGCACTCTGACTCGCCCTCTCGACGAGGCACACCCTCTGAGACACACTCACTGACCGCGGACCAGCAGGGTTTATACAGCTTTCGACCTGCATTCCAGAACATTCCGAGCCAAACCGGCAAGAATTCGCTCCAGAAGGCTCTCCATCCGTCCACGGTACATCGCCAATTTTTTCGCCAAATGGGCGACCTCCCGCCAAATGCGGCAACCCCGCCTTCCCACGGCAACCCCAAAAATACTTTGCGGGAAAGCCAGCCCACCGCGCCTGTACGTTTCGTAACATTAATATAACCGCACACTGATTGATCGTAATGCATGTTAATTTCGCTCAAATGATTCTATAATAGTTACAAAACTTACAGTACTATCTACAAAGCTCCAAAAACAATAAATATTTACAAGATTAACTATCACAGATTTTGTAGAATATTATACGAAAACAGCGACAAACTTCTTAATACGAGTATCTCTTAGTAGAAAGCGTGTATACGAGCCAGTTTCCCTTAGAAAGTCCTCCACGAAGGCATCCCTCCCCTTAGGCAGATAGCCCTAGTGTGCTTTGCCATAATTAAATAAACCAAACAATCTTAGTAGAAAGCGTGATGAATCACAATAAAACTTTCAGACTGCATGTGGCTCCATCTACATCCTATTGTGGCACCACTACAGCAGTATCAGCCATAACGCTCCAAATACAGAGCAGGTACGACTTAAGCAACTTTACCCTACGGAAAATGCTATTTATAATGACAGAAAAAATAGTTTAATTAAATTTTATTTCTAAATATAAATTATACATTTAATTTACAGAAGAGGAAGACAAAAAAATTGAATTCATAGTTGAAATGATAATTACATTTATATCTTCTATGACAGTAATTTAAATTTTTCATATATTCAAATTTGCTTTCATGTTGGAAAGATGTGTTTAAAAACACTGAAAAAAAAAAAAAAAAAAAAAATTCCAGTTAAAATGATAATGAACTCGATTTCACGCTTTCGAGCCAAGTTAATTGCGTTTAAAATGTTTTTGATTTTTCTTAATCAAGATTTGCTGTTGCAGAGAATAGTAATTAGAATTTATCATTCGGAGTCATTTATTAACCATACATAAAACTTCTTTTCTTTCAAGAATAGGATATATTAATCATGAGTAACTTTAATTAGGCTCATGACCATTGTTACTGTACAGAAATGAAACAAATTAATAATAAATAAATACCGTAATTGTTTTTAAACATAAAATAAAGTTTAAATACATTGTTACATGAGTAAGTCCAGCATACTTACGCATTCTTATATAAATGAGAAATTAAATGTCTTCTATCTATTTTTATGGAAAATTAAACATAGATTTCTTCATATTCAGTCTATATTTATGAACACAGATTTTTGTCGGGAATTAATTTCATGTTCTAATGTTTCTTAGTTATGCTTAATAAGTGTAGAAAACCATCAACTGAATTGAAACTTCTTATTAAATACCGGTAATTGAATTTAAGTACGTATATGTAATATTATAAATAAATAAAATAACATGAACTTCTTTTATCTTCAAATAAATTTTCGCAGTCCAAAAATTCTAATTTTTATTTTATGCTTGAACTATTATTTATTTATTATTAACTTGTTTCGTTTCTATATATTGAAACATTTTAATAAATGACAAAATATAATTTTTTCTAGCTCAAAGGAGCGTTAGCCCAGAAGGACTGTTAATCTCGAAACGGCATTTTGCGTCGGTTCATTATAAACGCCGTTCATTTTTTAAATTGTTGCCACCAATTATTACCGTCCTGTATTATATTAAAAAAAATGAAATAATGCAGAATCTGCATGAATGTATGTATGTTTCTCGCATTGTGAAAAAACAACGATTATCAGAGCCATGAAATTTTGAATAACATAATCCTCCACCCAAATATGGGCACCTGGAAGCTCAAATATTGAATTTCGAATTTGTTTTGTTATCTGTTTATATTCTGTAAAAATGTAAATTTTTTATTAACAAACTGAACGATTTCAAAGCGAGCAATGGCAACATTCTACAGAAAAAAGAACATTTTTTCATCTTATGCTGCTTTTTCAGCATATGAGACTGTCTATCGGAAATTCTAAGAACATGCTGCTTTTTAATATGTTGTGATTTTGCTGTTGAATCGAATTTTATGTGGCGCAAAAGCCAAGAACGTGATATTTAATATTTAAAGTCATCACACAAAACGTTAATAAATAAAATGAACCAAAAAATGTGTTTTGTAAAGCCGTCTTAGTAAGAATATTGAACATTGATTTAATGAAGAGAAAAGACTGAAAAAAAAACAGAAAAATATGGTACTTTTCCATTTTGCCGGCACAAGCGATAAACTCGCCAAAACTGGTACAACCGAAGCCAAACGGAATATCTTCGCTGGTAAGTAACCTTTTACGCCTCATTTTGAAAACAAGTCGCAGCCATTTCTTATCAGATTGATTGTTTCTTTCTATACTGGCATACAATTACATAGAATTTTTACCCAGACAGTTCAATTTTATGCCCTAAGGCCATTCGCGGTAATTAGTCAATTAGGATGCAATCACATTGCTCATCCGAAGGCGAAAATATAGAAAATGCAAAGTCGAGGGTTAAATTCATCAGTTCTAATGAAAATGCGCTAGCGAAGTAAAGCACTACGGTTTTACATAATTTCTGAGTAAGCTATTCGTACGAATTCAAATAATTCTTGTATTTAAGTTTGTATTCCAAATTAAGATTTAACTTGAAATTAATGTAGATAATTACTGAGAGAATTAGATTTTTGTAGCGTAGTTTAGGTAAGATGAGGGAATTGGGATTACATGATATGAAACGGCAAATCAGGATGTTGTACCATGAAAGCATCTAGTAAATTCTTAATGTCTTTTTACAAATTTATCGGCTTTATTTATTGTCTTTTTACAAAATTTTAAACGATATTAAAATGTTTATGCCTTTCAAAATAAAAATTTCTTAGAAGTAACATTTGTTAACATTTTTTATGTGTGTACTGTGTGTTGTCGCCAATAAAGTCTGATTGGCGAGATTTGCGGCAGCGAAACGGAAGAGTACCAAAAATGTATAAACAGAATCAAGACCAACCAATTATGTAAAAAACTTAATTAATTAAAAATTATTTCACGTAAAGTTATAATTGTTTCGGAATTTCTACTTTTATTGCGCTTTATTATGTTTTCCTTCTAGGTTGGATAATTGTTAATTAAATATGAAAAGCATAATAAAACCGCGCGAACGGACTGGCTGCATGGGCGTTTTTGTGGTTTTCCCCATGTGTAACGTGTATACGAGCCAGTTTCCCTTAGAAAGTCCTCCACGAAGGCATCGCTCTCCTTAGGCAGATAGCCCTAATGTGCTTTGCCATAATTAAATAAACCACACCACACCACACCGTAATAAAACCGTTAGGTTTCTGCCTTAGAAGAGATGTTTAATGGTTCGCCAGAAGCCGAATCTGAAATGAACTTTCAGAGTTCATCGGTCTTATTTGCTCAATCGTTAATGGATCATAGTATTCTAGAGAGCTAAATATTTTCATAAATTTTTATTGAAATATGACATTTAATTACTTTCTTTATACGATATTTAACAAATAATAGTGTAGGTGGGTGAGTTAGAAGGGAACAGCGTAACTGAATATGTAATATAGGAGTCTGAAATACCTTTTGTAAATATAGTAATGACTCAGTTGTTTATCAAGCTCATTACATGAAAGCCGCAGTCCTTCGTCTGGCTTTTAAACATACCGGAAAAATGCCTAAAAGACACAAGAATCTTCTAGAAAATATTCTGAAAACAAACGCAAATAATAATTAGTGCAATTTTAACACTTTTCTCTCGACAAACGTCCAGTACCCAAGAAAAATATTAAATTTAAAAACTACGCAGAATTTCACTCTGCAGAACAACTTTATTAAAAAAAAGCAATAAAAAGTTATTACATGTATAAAAAAAATTACAATGAACCAAGCAGTATCCCTTAATACAAATATTAATTATCCTAATAAATAAATTAACCAACTTCCCTTTGCAAAATCTTAAGAACTCAAATGGTATAAAGGAGGTTAAGAACTTTGTTTCCTAAAAAAATCACTCAAAACTTTTCAGTATCTTAAAAACAGTGAAATGAGCAATAAATAGCATAAAAGAATACAAAAAACAAAAAATTCTGAAAAGCAAAGTATAATTAATCTTATATTTTCAAGAGAAATGCGATTTCATCAAAAATCTATCAACATCAATAAGAAAGAAAAATTGTTGCCAAAATCACATTTTTAAAGATTGAGATGTGAGAAGTGTACTCCGAAGCTTCATTTAAATTTTTTTTTTTTTAAATACAAAATATTATCATTTTTCCAAAATTATTTTGTAAAAGCAGTCGCAGGGATGAAAGTTTAACGTATCCAAAAATCAAAGAAAAATAAACTGTACATTTTTTAAAATAAACTTTTTTAGAAAAGTCTCGTTGAAAAGGTGTTAAGCTCACTTTGTTAAATAAATTCTTATTTAATCGATTTATTGAAACACGAAATTTATTTTAAGTTCGTAAAATAGCTAAGTGCCTGCGTTTCATGACGACGTGAAAATGGAGTGTGTAGAGTAAAATCTCGCTTTCCTATAGCTCATTATGTCTCAAAATGCCGCGATTTCGTCACAAAACAGAAAATAAAAAAAAATTCAAATTAGAATTTCGAAAAAATTGCTTCGAGGTGCACTGGCTCTTGTCTAGATGCACCTATGTACCAAATTTCGTAGCCGTGGGTCTATTAGCTTACGCGCAGCGCGAACGAAAGACACACGCAGACTCTTCCTTTTATTACAAAGAAAAGATAAAAGTGTATAAAATTTTATAAAATAAAAGTACAGGAACCCAGAGACAGCATTAATAGTTAGATTTCGTTATTTGTCTTTTTATTTATTTATTTATTTTTTATTTTACGTTGCCAAAACATGAATACTTTAGTCATTTAAAGCAAACTCCAACTCCAACTCAAATTGCAGACAGGCCGAATGTAAAATCTGAAAACAACTAGGATGGGGCCCGCCTTTTTTTTTAGCCCAAAGGGCGTTAGCCTACAAGGCCTATTTATTTCGTTTTGGCATTTTGCTTTGATTCACTTTCTACTTTGTTTAACTTTTCAAACTGTTGCCACCAAATATTATCGCTCTGTATTATATTTAAAGAAATTAAATAATGAAAAATGTGCATAAGTTTTATATATGTTTCTCGCATTGCGATAAAGCAACGGTACCTAGAGCATTCGAATTTTGAAGAACTTAATCCTCCACCGAATATGGGCATCTGGAAGCCTTAATTTGGAAGTTGAAGTCTGTTTTATTATCTATGTCATATTCTGTAAGACATTACAGAATTTTTTATTAAGAAACTCAACGATTTCAAAGCGAGGAATAACAACACTAAAGATAAAAACTCAACGCTGGAGATTAAAAAAAAAAAAAAAAAATATTTTTATCTCCAGGCGCCAGACTGTGTATCAGAAATTCTAAAGATATGCTTATTTAAAAATTTTTTGGGGGTATTGCTGTTGAATTGAATTTTTGGTTTAAGTGCGAAGAACATAATATTTAAAAAACGCCCCTTTGGGCGTAATGTAAAAGATGAAAGCTTTCAGATTTATTTTTTTTTTTTCAACCAAAATGAAATTTTTTTAGCAAAACAAATTTTTTTAACTAAATTCTTATTTCGAATATGCTGGCATAAACTTTTTTTTACTTCCTTGTACGAAGTAAAAAGGAAGTATTGTAATCGCGAAAAGTTTCAGGCAGCATATTTCAACGAAAATATCCATTTTGACCGCTATCGAATGCAATTTAACGATGTTTTTGCGTGATATCTGTATGTAAGGACAGAATAAAAGACTCGTTTCCTCCAAAAATATTATAAACTGCTTTAAAATTAATTCTGAAGAGAATTTTCCGTGGCGTCTGTACGAACGTATGTACATACGTACGTATCTCGCATAACTCAAAAACGATTAGCCTCAGAACGTTGAAACTTTGTATATAGGACTGCTATAACATGTAGATGTGCACCTCGTATTTTGGTTGCAATCGGCCACACCAAACGTATATAAATATATTTATATATATATCCACTCTGTTACCCGGCTCAGTGATCTCAGTTTCTTTACTCTTATATGTTTGTAAATTGTACATTTTTTATTTTAAAAATGATTGTATTATGTTGTTTTTATCTTCCGGTTAAGGTTTTTATGCCTTTAGTAAATCTGTATGCAATATTTTTAGAATTATCAACAATTTTAAAGTTGTCTAAGTGCCGCTAAGCCTTTTTTTAATGGCGGCCATTGATGTTTACATTTGAAACAGGAGACTAGTGGATTTGTTGCCAATCTAGAGAATCTTAGCTTCGCAACAACAAAGATAACGCAATCATTTATTATTGCCATGCTTAATTCTTTCTGGAATTTTTTCGAGGAAATAAGTGTTTAAGATTTACTTCGTAATTTTTAATATAGATATTTTGAGTTTTTATGTATTTTTGCCTTCTCGCGAAATGAGAACTGAATTAATTAAATGAGAAATACTCAATCGTCTGTGAAAAACTGCTTCTTTTTTGTTTTGTTTGCTTAATTTCTTTTCTACATCGTTCTAGCTTTATTATAGTATTTGAATAGAACATGTGGCAACGATTAGATAATTCTATTCTTTAAATTATATAAATTTTGTGCATTATGAGTTATAATATGAACGAAATATATAAGTTAACTGTTATATAATTATTGGATTATATAACAGTTAACTTAGTTTCAGTTATATAATTATTATATAAGTTTAACTGTTATATAATTATTAAGTGAATCTAGCGCCAGAGTGTCGCTATGGTAAACAAATACTAGAGTGAATTTTAAGGAATGCATTTATTCTATTGTGGTTTATGCGCTGTCGGCGAAGTAGATTTAATTCAATCCAATAAGTTTAAATGAAATGCAAGAAAAAATGCGTATAATTTAATATTCCGTACAAGGAAGTCATGTGGTGTACACATCAGATTTTTTATTATTAGTTTGTTCTTATGTCTTTGAAACTTCAGATAATTCAAATAAGGTCCAAAGTTTCCGGACTGCACAGTAAATTCCGGATTGTAAAAAATTTTACTTCCTTAGAAAATTGTTATTTTTAAGCTGGAAATATATTACGCGAGCAAGAAAATATGAAACTTTGCTAAATTAGATTTTCTAAACGTGCGCCCCGAGTAAACGAACATCCATCGAGGTGATATTTAATAACATGCCACGCGCGCTCTAGCGGTGCAACGAGAATATACTGTGACAGATCGCTACAGAGTATAGGTAATATTGGCGATAAAGGCGATTGTTTTTGATGAATCCTGAATGTGGGGGGGGGGAGGTCACAAAAATCCAGGTTGAGAGTTACGACGCCAAAAGCGTAACACACAGTTACCTTGCTCACTTTATCAGATACAACGTTATGGAAAAGGCTGTAGAGTCATTAGGTTATTTTGATGCTGGTGACGTGAAAAAATGAGCTATGCCTTAGTCGGGACTCGAACCTGAACCTCTCGAATATGCACCGAGTCTGCTAACTTTAGCACCACGAAAGCATGCTGTAAGGAGGGAGAAAATACCTTATATGCTCTCCTTTTTATAGGGCGAGAGGGGATTAGGGGACCTACTCGCCAGATTCTGGCGGTGAAGAATCATCATCTACCACCTTTTTGTTCAGGCGGCACTGTAGAATCATTAGGTTTTTTTTTTTAATGTCAGGAAACTGAAGAAATGAGCAATGCTTTCGCCGGGAATCGAACCTGGACCTCTCGAATACTTGTCGAGAGTGCTACAGTTACACCACGAAGGCATACTGGAAGGAGTGAGAAAATATATTTATATAAGGCAAGGTATTATTTTTGTACTTTATAATGTATTACTTTTGTTTTAATTTTTCTTTTTTGTTTTAATCTTTTAACTGTATTTTTTGTTTGTCTGTGTTGGATGTGCTTCGTTGGCCATTCTGGCCGATAAGAATGGTTGCAGCACACTCGTATATTACATTTCCTTATAAGGTCGTTCTCAGATTAATACATAAAAAAAAAAAAAAAAAAAAAAAAAAAAAAAAAAAAAAAAAATTCTGAAATGTTTCAGATTTTAAATTATGTCCAAAAAGGCGTTTTTTTAACGTCTTGTGTGTTACCTTTATTTATTAAATATCATGTTTTTTGCACCTAAACCATAAAATTCAGTTCAATAGCAATGTCGAAAAATAATTTTAAAATGAGCCTATCTTTAGAATTTCCGATACACAGTTCCGCGCGCTGGAAATAAAAAAAAAAGGTCCCCCCCCCGTAGAAGTGTTGTCATTGCTCGCTTTGAAATCCTTGAGTTTGTTAATCAAAAATTCGTTAAAGTTTTACAAAATATGAAATCGATAATAAAACAAATTCCAAATTTCAAATTCGGTCTTCCACATGCCCAGATTCGTAGAAGGATTACGTCATTCAAAATTCGATGGCTCTAGGTATCATAATGCGATAAATATACATACATTTATGGAGATTTTTCCTTATTTAATTTCTTCAAATATAATGCAGGACTCTAACATTTGGTGGCAACAGTTTGAAAAGTGAAACGGAGATTTATAGTGATTCAACGCAAATTCGCAAACAATAGTCATTCAGGGACAAAGCCCCTTTGGACTAAATATTTCTTCTTTTGCCTATGAGGATATGTATATCAATTTTTCATTTTGCAATATTATAATTTCGAGAGTAACTAAAATCGGTCCCTTCCTTTTTGAAATATAGTGCTATAACGTAACTTCCCGCTGACAAATCATTCGGATATCGTTTATCTTACACATTCTACTGAAGTAGCTGTTGTGCTTACCGAGATCACTTACTACAGTATACTTAAAGTAAATGATCCTAAATTACATATCGCAAAAACCGAGAAATCTGTCGCCTCATTTAAGCGACCAACTGTTCCCAAAATAAATAATACTTAATTCTTGTTTTCGTTATTTGGGGAGCAGAGAAAAGTACAGTAATTTAGCTCTGGAAAGTCATTTGTAAAAACATCCCTGGAAGTAGTTGAAGACCTCGCTGCGACATTTTCGCTCGAAGAAATATTTCATTTAACATTTTTTATACGACACTGTCATTTTTACCGCCCCGAAGTAATCGTCCTTGTCATAATAATACACTAAATTTAGTTCTTTATTTTGGAGAGAAAAGAGTCATTTTCGAAAATTATATTATGTAAATATTTGTATATACTCGTACTTTGCTATAGATAGTCATTGTGGGGCGGAGGAAACTAAACAAGCAGAACTTATATTTTCCCAATTTCTACTCGTTTATTATATTTTTGCTATTTTTCCCCCCTCACAGAAATTATAAGAATATCAGTGAAACTGATCGTTTGGCTTCATTAATTGTGGTGAGTCAGTGTCGCTATCATTTGACAAACATTTTTTATGCACTTGAAATCCCCTCGACCTATTTCTATCTTTTGACATTTTGCTATTAAGAAAAATATGATAAATCGTTATAAAGAGACAAGAATTGTAATTATCATGGTAAGAAAAAATTCAAATGATATTTTCCCAGTTTTTGCGTCTGTTTCTTGTCAAATGTAGAATAGCTGATGATAAATGCATGTCAGGTAGATTTTAATTTCATATTGGAACATGTTTCATGGTCTTTATTATACTTTTAACTGAAGCAATGTTTTATAAACTCCTTAATTGCCTAGGATTAGCTGACATTCCTACATGCTTTGATTCATTCAGTCTTTTTGGAATAAAGTTTTCTGTTGTCATTTTCCAAAAATTGGTTTTATTTTTCTTCCTTTATTTTAATACTAGCAGCTTCGCTGCCAGCCTTTGTCTGGCTTTTAAATGTACCGGAAAAATGGCTGAAGGAAACACCAAACATTAAATTTAAAAACTGCGTAGAATTTTGCTCTGCAGAACAACTTCATAAAAAAAAAGTTATTACGTATAACAAAATTACAATGAAATAAGCAATATCCCTTAATACAAATAATTATTATCCTAATAAATAAATTAACCAACTTCCCTTTGCAAAATCTTAGAACTCAAATGGTATAAAGGAGGTTAAGAACTTCGTTTCCTAAAAAAAATCACTCAAAACTTTTCAATATCTTAAAAACAGTGAAATGAGCAATAAATAACATAAAAGAATACAAAAAACAAAAAATTCTGAAAAGCAAAGTATAATTAATGATATTTTATCTTATATTTTTAAGAGAAAAAAAATTACAATGAAATAAGTTCATTTGAGGAATCTGAAACATTACCAGTATTGATATTGACGAAACGGCTCCAAGAAAGCCTCAGTTCAGACAGCACACATTTAGTTAAAAATCTTGTTGTCATTAAGAAATATCAAAAAGTTATTCATAATCGTAACGATCCACTCACATGTTGCCATTTAAAAGTTTCAAAGTTAAATAAAAGAACGCGTTTATCACTAAGAATTGTTATAATATCTATATATATAAAGTAGAAAGTCTGTCTGTTTATTCTCTAATAACTCAGTCACTACTACAGCTATTGTCACTAAACTCTCTACAATTCTTTTTTGAGTCCTGGAAAAGGTCAACTTCCACTTTTTTAAAAAGAAAAGTAGCCAAAATCAGAGATGTTAATTAAAAATTCGGAAAAACGATCATTTTCCCCCTTATTTCTCCGAGTGGAAACAGTCTCGCACTCTGTAGGTAAATATCTGCTTTATTTCGAGAAGTGTTGCCACTGTTCGCTTTCAAATCGTAAAGTTTTTTAATAAAAAAATTCTACGTTTTACAATGAAATAAAAATAGCATTGCCAAACATTAAATACATTAGTTCCGATTCCAAAAATTCGCGGCAAGCCATTTCGACTATTCTCATCTTCGTATCATTTTAATCAGCCGAGATATTAATTAAAAACTCTGAAAATACTAATTTTTCGCACTCATTTTTCCGAGTGGCAACAGACTCGCGCGCTGGAGATGAAAACGCTTTATTTCGAAAAGTGTTGCTACTGCTCGCTTTCAAAGCGTTGAATTTGTTATTAAAAAATGTGTAGGTTTTACAAAATTTCTCGGTATAAAGAAGAATGCTGTTCGTGTGTTTGTTTGTTTGTTTGTTCGCGTTATTGATTTCTGATCAATTATGATCAATTTTTTGCCACACTTAAGCGACTAAAATTGAATATAGGTGAAATATTGGATGGGCTATGAGCTTTTACGACCAATTGATTAGAAAGACGAAAGTCATTAAAAACTGCGAGCCATTGTTGCAGATATAATGAGAGAGAATTAGTTTATTTTTCTATCGAAATTTTTTATGTGGAATCTATATCGCATCAGAGTGAAAAATGTATGACTATGAATCGTATTTTTTTGCATTGTCATTAGAGAAGGATTACAGTGGTATGGTTCTCTCTGTTGTTACATACATTACTATCAGTCTAACTTAACTGGCATCTGGTACTTAGTATTAAATATGTAGTATTAAATATCTAAACTAGTATTAAATATCTAAACATAACCAAACAGTGGGCTAAGAACTCTGTTTAAAAGTGTCTTTAATAGGTAAAATAAGTATCGAAACTCCAGTTACACAGTTTCATTTTTCATTTCAAGGGATAACTCATTCAGCGATTTTAAATTTATCGAGTTTAGTAACCGCAAACTCTATTCCCATTTTGATGAAATTTAGCCTAATTTACAAGTAAACAGTTAGTCATTAAAATGCTTTGACCATTAGGAGAATAAAAATAGTCAAATGAATGTCTACAAGTCAATTATTTCTCTATTAATTTTCAAAAGCACGTGAATAATATGTGCCAAAAATAACAGAATAAGAGATAATGTGGAGATTTTTAAGCTGTTAACATTATCGGTATATCGCAGACCAGATCATTTTGAACATCTCTTTTCTGAACTGTCAGACAATATAAGACTCTTCTCCCATTTCAGTATCATCATCATCTTCGCAAAGCGGATATTTCCCGTTTTTGCAAGTAAATTCGATGTTTTAAATTTCACCTTCTACAAAATAATTTTAGCACCAGCAAGCTAGGCGAAATTCGTTGTCATAACTTTAGAGAATAAAGAAAAAATTATGCGAATTTTTAAATTCTCACGCAGAAATAAACAAACAATTTTTTTAAAAATTTAAATCAAAATTTTTTAATCCAAGGGTCGCTCTATATTAGTTTACTATCAGATGTTCTATAAATAAGTAGGACTTTTTTATCTCTTAATTTGCATAACTGGACATTGTGTTTCGAGCAAGAAAACAGAAATAATTATAAAGTCATGTGTTATTTAGAGTCAAGTGTTCCAATTCAGTTTCAAAGAAAAATAGGGCATAGCCTTTTTCATGCTTCTCGTATTTATGCATATGTTTATGTATACAATTTTCATGCTTCATGTATTTGCTATTAATTATCATTTAAGAAAGCCGAGCTCTGCGTAAATAAGACTGCATTAGTTTAAAATCGAGCTTTTTTAATATGCTTCAGTTCTGTTATTCTGTATGTATAGAAATAATTAAGTATAACTTCAAACAAGTTTGCACGCCGTCTTCCGTTGCGTTATGTTACCGGGTATTTATACCCGATAGCCGCTACGCAACCAGTCTTCGTCTGGCTTTTAAATGTACCGGAAAAATGCCTAAAGGGCCAAACATTAAATTGAAAAACTGCACAGAATTTTACTCCGCAGAATAACCTTATTAAAAATAAATAAATAAAATCTTAAAGGTTTCAGATTTTAAATTACGTCCAAAGGGGCGTTTTTTTAAATGTTTTGTGTGTTACCTTTATTTATTAAATATCATGTTCTACGTACTCAAACTATAAAATGCAGTTCAACAGCAATATCGCAAATTAATTTTAAAATGAGCATATCTTTAGAATTTCTGATACAGAATCTCGCGCGCTGGAGATAATAATGTTTTTTTTTTTTTTTTTTTCGCACAGTGTGTTGCCTTTGCTCGTTTTAAAATCGTTTAGTTTTTTTAATCAAAAATTCATTAAAGTTGTACAAAATATGAAATTGATAATAAAAAAAATTATAAATTTCAAATTTGGGCTTCCACGTGCCCATATTCTCAGTAGGATTACATCATTCAAAGTTCGATGGCTCTATGTACCGTTGTTATCACAATGCGAGAAATATACATACATTTATGCAGATTTTTCATTATTGAATTTTTTCAAATGTAATGCATGACTCTAACATTTGGTGGCAACAGTCTGAAAAGTGAAACTGACATTTATAGTGAGCCACCGCAAAATCGCAAAACGAAAACAACAGTAGTCCTTCAAAAACAAAGCCCCTTTGGGCTAAAAAAAAAAAAAAAAAAAAAAAAAAAAAAAATCAATAGAAATGTAATATATATATATATATATATATATATATATAATTACAATGAAATAAGCAATATCTCTTAATGGAAATATTAATTATCCTAATAAATAAATTAATCTTCCCGTTGCCTTCTCTCGACAAACGTCCAGCATCCAAGAGAAACGTTAAAAACTACGCAGAATTATCACCCTCATTTTTCCGAGAGGCAACAGTGTTGACATCAGCAACAATGGCAATAGTGATATATCAGCAACTAATGTTTTTTGATGAAATCGCATCAAATCGATATTCTCTCTCATTATATCAGCAACAGTTGCAGCGTGCCATTGTTGCTGATATAATGAGATAGAATTATCGATTTGATGCAATTTCATCAAAAAACATAAAATTAAAAAAAAAAGAAAGAAAGAAACTCATTCGAATTTTGAAAAAATCGTTTCGAGGTGCACTGGTTGTTGTCTAGATGACCCCCTTTGTACCAAATTTCGTAGCCCTGAGTCTAGCTTACGCGCAGCACGAACGAAAGACACACAAACAGACTTTTTCTTTTATATATATATATATTTGTCATATTTTAATTCTAGTGTTTTCTTGTCCCCTTTATCCTAAAAGTCAGTTCAATACGTAGTCTGAATATACGTTTATGAATATTAAGTGAATAGATAACTAAATAAATAGATATATAATAAATAGATTACAATTTAATTCCTAGTAAAATAGCATAAGAGTTGCCTTTATAGTTTTTAATTTTAAATTCTTAAAAAGTTTAGTCAAAATATTTTTTTATCTTACTAATAAAAAAAATTTCATTTTGTTAAAAAAGGGAAGGGGCAATTTGACCCTTCAGCTGTTTTCAGGGCCCGCGTGTGAGACCACTGTCTTGAGTTTGAAACTGAACACTGTTCTTTATATTTCTCCTAGAATTATTATTGATCTTTCTAAATGAACGCTATGTTTTTTAACTTCTAAAACCAAACAGAATATATTTTTTTCTGAATTCGGCTAGCTATAGTTCTGCTTGCGATGTCAGTCAATTTTATGTAGCGGAATTCTGGACATGTGGTGCCATCTACATATCTAATAAGGAACTTAAAGAAAAAATTTAAATTCAAATATTCAAACAAGAAATGTTATATGTTCTTTAATAAAGCATTTTATTTTATTAAGCTCAGATTTTATTCAGAAAGAACTGTATAATCATTTTTAATGAATTGAATGTATAATGTAGTAAGAATAAAGTAGAATAAATCAAATGTAGAACTTTTTAATTCATATCCCCCCTAAAAATATGTGCAAAAAACGTAATAATAATAATTGTATTTTTATTAGTAGCGGTCAACTTTAGCATATGGGGACTAGTATTATAATCCTCAAAATTTATTTTATTTAGCCAGCATTTCGGAAAATATTCTCAAATAATAAAAAATTGTTATTCGAGAAAAATAATTTATATTTATTTCCACTTATCTTTCTAATAGTTTTGCTAAAACGAAGAACAAATATAAAATTCCCCGCATAAAAAATTCAAAATGCATAATTGAGTTATTTTGTAAAATGTTTATGGCATATTAAACTAAAATTCCTTAAATTTCAATTTAATTAATTTAAGTTTTGTTTACTTCTCTAGTTAATGAGCACGTTTAAGTATTAAACTTCAATTTGATGTAGTGTTAGTTAATTAAGACACAATAACACGCCGAATAAATACTAATTCAGAAGACAAACAACAAAAATCAGCGTTATATTTACAAAATTTCCACAGGACTAGTTTCGATGGTTTTACCGAACCACCATCCTCAGCTGCAAAACCGCAAATGAACAAGATAGGAAAAAATGATTAGATAAGATAAGAAAGCCTGGACAAGAATAAGCAAGTGGCGCCATCTGTTGGTGAAATCAGAACTAAAACATAATTTCTTCTGCTGTTTCTGCTTCTGCTTTTTTTCTGCTGTTTTGTGTGTGCTTTATTATTGCTTA